AAACAAAACACTGGGAGCCGCAAAACAGTGCATAACATCTCAGATAGGATCCTCACCAAAGCCGAAACGAATGTCCTTTCCAAAGGATTCAACTTTGCTGTCGTTCCCAAACACATCCCCACTGAAACCATTATATGCGGAGTTGAAACCAGCCTGACCAAAATCAACCCTGACGACGCGAACAGAATCAGACTCGAAATTACCAACATCCTCTGCACCAGCAAGCCACCCAAAAGCAACTTACCCAAAGAGGAACAGATAGCACTACTTAACCTGAAAGAAGACACCAGCATAATAATCTTACTAGCAGACAAGGGCAATGCCATGGTGGTTATGAACACATCTGACTACCAAACCAAATTAATCAACCTACTCCAAGACTCTACATACAAACCCCTAAACACAGATCCCACCACCTACCTGGAAAAAAACACCAGATCCAAAATAAAAGCCTCCCCCATTAGTGAAGAGATCCAGCAAAGAATCATTCCCAGAGAGAAATCATCCAGATGCCCTAAGCTTTATGGTCTCCCCAAGATACACGAAGAAGGAACCCCATTTAGACCCATAGTCAGCTCCATAGGCTCACCTCTACAAAACCTAGCCAAATTTCTCACCAAACAACTACAGCCCAATGCAGAATCCATCACCTCACATGTAAAAAACTCATTCCATTTCTTAGAGATCATAAAGAAACAAAACTTACAGCCCAGCGACCTACTTGTGAGCTTCGATGTCATATCCCTCTTCACCCAAGTGCCAATTAAAGAAGTCTTGACAGCTATCCAAAACAAATATAACCCCCCCCCAAACACATCCTAGATCTGACCAACCAGTGCCTATCCAACATATACTTCATCTATAATGGCCAAAAATACAAACAAATAGAAGGAGCACCCATGGGATCACCCCTCTCACCTGTCATTGCAAACCTCTACATGGAACACTTTGAAACCCAAGCTCTAGAAAAATCTGATCACAAACCCAAACTCTGGCTCAGATACGTAGACGATACCTTCATAATCTGGCCACATGGGAAAGAAAAACTGGACAACTTCCTCACACACCTCAACAGCCTACACCACAAAATACAGTTCATCATGGAAACAGAAGCTAATAACCAACTTTCCTTCCTGGATGTCTTAGTCTACAAGAAACCCAATGGCTCCCTAGGACACACCATCTACCAGAAGAAAACACACACAAACCGCTATCTGCACGCTCTCTCACACCACCACCCAGCACAGATCAACTCCGTAGCCAGACACTCATCTCTAGAACAAAATGCTTAGCTGATGAGCAACACCTAAAAACTGAACTACACACTCTCACTAATGTACTTACATCCAATGGATTCCAAAGAAATAAGATTACCAAACTAATCCAAAAAGAAACCCCCACTAAAATCCAAGACAGAGAACAAGAAAACAGCAAAGCCCTCCTCCCTTACATAAAAGGCACCACAGACAGAATCAGCAAAATCCTCCACAAACAAACATCAAGACAGCATTCTGCACAAACAGAAAAATATCCACCATCCTAAGAAACCCCAAAGATAAAATTGAATTAGAAAATCAAGGAGTATACGAAATCCCATGCACCACTTGTCCCATCACATACATCGGATAAACCAACAGAAGAATAAGTGCACGCATTGAAGAACATAAGAACTCAGTCAAAAAAGAGGAACCAACTTCTTCCCTTGTCCAACACCATAAAATCACAGGACATGAAATTGACTTTAAAAAGGCCAGAACTATCACCAAAACTGAACACTTCAATAACAGAATAATCAGAGAAGCCATCGAGATAGAAAAACGCCCACACAGCATGAACAAACGAGATGATACCTCCCACCTACCAGCCATTTGGAAACCCGTCCTTATTGACAAACGAGTCCCTAACACAAAGAATGACACCAGACCCACACTCACAAAAACCACACAGGATATCACCACCACACATCCACACAAAAAGCAAACCCAAACCCACACCGATGATAAGGCACGACCACAAACCAGAAGCCAGACCACAGCTGCATCATTAGCCACTTTAAACCCCTCCAATCCATACATGAAGCAAACTGACACCCACCATGAAGATGAGGCATGACCACGAACACAAAGCCAAACAACAGCAACGCAGCTCACCATCTCATATCGCCCTGCAACTCAGACTAACCTGAGCACAACAAAGCCCCCATCCAAACAGAATACTCCCCCAACCAATCAGAGCACAGCCAACCCCCCAGCCAATCAGAGTACAGCCAAGCTCCTAACCAATCAGAACACACTTCCACCCAATCAGAACACAGCCAAGCTCTCATCCAATCAGTTCATACCCCCACTGGCAGTTAAAAGGAAGAAACAGCTATGATCACACATTGCTCCTAGAAGCATGAAGCCAAAAACACCAGCCTGAAGATGACAAATGAGACTTCGTCGAAACGTCGCCAAGACATGTCCAATTTGACATGGGAGAAAACCCGAATAACAAAAGTCCTACATACAAACACCCGCGAAAACCTCAGAAAACAAATATGTATATATATGTATATATACGTGTAATAAAGGTAAAAAAGGATATATGCAGTGTTATCTTCATTTTAGATATCAAAAGGGTTTTGCGGCTCCCAGTGTTTTGTTTTTGGTGGGAAACGGGTCCAAGTGGCTCTTTGAGTGTTTTGGGTTGCCTACCCCTGGCTTAGTGTATCTTGTAAACATTTGTAGAACTCTGTCCGGTCCCGGGGTTTTATCATTTTTTTGTTTCTTTATAGCTTCCATCATTCCCATCATTGTAATTCTTTCATTTAGTATATTTTTAAAGTTCTCTGGAATTTTGGGTAGATTAGCATTTTCTAGATATTGTACTATTTCCAGAGAAATTTCTTCTGTATTATATAATTTTTGATAAAATTTTTTAACTATTTTTTATTGCATCATTTTGAAATTGTAAACCACACTTCTCATCTTGCAATTTATTTATCAGTTTCTTCTCTCTTTTTTTTTCAGTTTATAAGCCAGCCATCTTCCCGGCTTATTTGCATTTTCAAAAAAGTTTTGTTTTGCCCTTTTAATTTGTTGAGCCAATTTCTCTGACTCTGTTAAGTTTAGTTTATGTTTTATTATCTCCATTTGTCTTCTCACAGCTTTCTTTTGTGGATATATTTGTAATTCTAACTCCAGTTTCTTAAATTCTTACCTTAATATTGTAGATTGTTGTTTTTTTTCTTTGTTCTTTTTAGCCATATATGTTATAGCTAATCCTCTAAAATATGCTTTGGCTGTATCCCATACATTCTGGTTTGATGTCTCTTTTTTATTTTCTTTAAAAAAAAGAATTCTATTTCCTTTAATGCTTTAATTCTACAAATTGTTTCTCTTTTAACAGGGATTGATTCAAAGTCCATCTTGATTTCTTCTTTACTCCTCTCCAAGTCAGCTTTATCAGATTGTGGTCCGCTCAGATATTAGATTCTATCTCAATCTCATGTATGTTAGTTCTTAATTCAGGGGACATCCATATCACAATCAATTCTGGACCAAGAATAAAATGTGTACTGGGTCTTTTTTGGTTTTATTTCTCTCCAAGTATCCTATATACAGATTTCTTCTGTCATTCTAAAGAACAGCTTAGGCAGAATCTTTCTATATAAAGCTACTCCTCTTTTCTTTTGATTTGCTGATGTAGGTAGGAAAGAGATTGTTTTCAACTAGATGCTGTTGGACTGCATCAGCTACCAGACCAGTTAGCAATTTGAAAGTTGTTGTGGTTTTGGGATCTGTAGGGAAGCAGCACCTCAACAGGCTACATGACAGTTTTGCTTTTTACTCTTGATGAACAAAGTGTCCTAAAGTCTTTTGCAAGTATGTACAATGGATTAGTTTTCTGAAGGGGAGAAGAATAAGATGCTAGACCAGGGGTAGGCAACCCAAAACACTCAAAGAGCCACTTGGACCCGTTTCCCACCAAAAACAAAACACAGGGAGCCGCAAAACCATTTTGATATCTAAAATGAAGATAACACTGCATATATCCTTTTTTACCTTTATTATAGGTGTGTGTGTGTGTGTGTGTGTGTGTGTGTGTGTACACATACACACACACATTAAAAATAAAAGTAAAAATATGACTCTTGGGAATATCCATACTATTAAAACAATGATAAAGAGACTGCTTTAAGAGAATAAAATTACATACATACACAGGTAAAAAAAAGGATATATGCAGTGTTATCTTCATTTTAGATGTCAAAAGGGTCTCTCTCTCTCTGTTTCTCTCCCTCCCTCCCTCTCTATCTGCCCTTGGTCTGCCACTCCTCTTCCCCCCCCTCTCTCTCTCCCTCCCTCCCCCCCTCTCTCTCTTTCACTCTCTCTCTTTCTCCCCCCCTCCTATCTGCTGCTCACCTGGCAAGCTTCAAGCTGTTCTCCAACAAGCTGGGGGTAGGCAACCTCGTCTCTTTTATGACTCATGGACTTCAACTCCCAGAATTCCTGAGTCAGCCTAGCTGGGCTAGCTAGCTCTCTCCTGCCCTTCCTGCTTCCTGCTTCCTGCAGAGACGCAGCAAAGGGAGGAGCTCCGCCCAGTAAGCTTTTCAGCTCCTCGGAGAATACTGTGAGTGCACTCTCTTTTACACACACAGACACACACAGACACACACACACACACACAGACACACACACACACACACACACACACACACAGAGAGAGAGAGAGAGAGAGAGAGAGAGAGAGAGAGAGAAGCAGGGAAGCGCAATTGCCTCTCTCTGTCTCTGTCTCTCTCTACAAAGGCAGAGGAGGCTGGGAGCCACAGGGGAAGGCTCAAAGAGCCGCATGCGGCTCCGGAGCCGCAGGTTGCCGACCTGTGTGTTAGACCATTTGAACTTTGAAGGACATAATTTTAGAATAGCATTTTGAAAGCAAATTTGGAATATGCAAATTTGAAAGGACAAAGCAAATTCAAATACATTGAAAATTGATTTGAATTGTTTTATTTACAGGTTACATTGGGCAGAAAAGAAATTTGCTTGCTGCCTAATAACATAACAAGAATATTGGCCACTAAGTTTTGTGACATGGCTTTATGGAGAAAAACATGTGCGAATATTGTATTGTCCGGTGGTGGAATTAGTGAAAACAATGTAAATATGGTATGTTTATTACACATTTTAAAACAAACTACTTTATTTCAGAGGGAGACATAAATGTACCAATTAAATGAAAATGACTTTTTAAAAAAATATTCTTCCTCAGAATCGTCTGGATGTCATTGTATCACATTTATTTGGATGTACATCAGCAAAAACTCTTTTACATTGGAAACAGGTAAAAAGTCTGAAATGTGAAACCAAAAATGTGAATTTTACTCACTTGGAATAGGAAATGCCGTCTTTGATCTCTTTTTTCATAATAAATGTTTTTTTCCCAAATAAAATAAAAATATAAATTTCTCATTAATTGCAAAACTAATTTTTGCTCATTCTCTCCATTAGCCTTCCTAAATATATTTATTTATACTGTTATTTATAGAGCCTACACTCAAAAGGACTAGGGCAGTTGGCAGGACAAATAACAATTAAAAACTATCAGCTAATTTAATCTAATCCCTGGGACAGTCCAAGAATTTGCAAGCATTTAAATGCTCCCTATCTTATGAAACAGGGTATTCTGAAGGGCAGGGTCCTAATTGAGAAAACATGTGGGCAAACCTCCATTGTCCCCCACTGAGTAGGGATGCTTATTTTCCAAGGGTTCACATGAATTTGGAGTTGGCAAATCAGCTAGCAAAGTAGCACCCACAACACAAGTATTACTCCACTAAATGTATTTACTCTAGTGATTAAACAAGCCACTATATTTTGAATCAGTTGAAACTTTTCAGTTATCTTCAAAGGCAAAGTAAATTCCATAGTCTGTCAGGGTTCCAAGCGTCAGTCCCCAAAATCAGGAAAAACACATGTTGATTCTTCCAAGCAGAGTTCTTTATTGTTCTATGCTTATAGATAGAATCTTGCCATACCAAAGAACCCTACTTACTATTTGCATCTAGCATATACTTTGAAAACTATTAGGGAGGACTTCTTCATCCTTCTTCCCTCTCAGAAAATATCTGGACCAAGCTGCTACTTATTCTTCTGGAATGCACTCCCTCTCTCCTCGGAATCCAGCTTACTATATGCTTACTATACTGCCCATCAAGGCAGTGAATCATTATTACCAGTAAATCTGAGTTCATCTATTGGCACACCAGACAAAGCTGGGCAACAGTCCTCCGGTAATTGCTCCACTTATTATTTGTGATAGAACATTATCCAGATTTTCAGAAGGGAGGGAATGTATTTCAGATGAGCAAAAGACAGAACAGGTTGCGAGGGAGAAAGATAATCATTTATTTATTTATTTATTTCTAAAATTTATATGCCGCCCAATCCCAAGGGACTCAGGGCGGCGTACAAAATTAAAACAATAATCTGACAATAAAACAATAAAATAAATACATTCATACAGCGTGTCCGATCATATCCCCCCCCCTGGGGACATCAGCTCCAGGCCTGCTGGAACAGGAGAGTTTTAATGGCTTTCTTAAAGGCCGGCAGGGTGGGAGTAGTTCGAACCTTGGGGGGAAGTTGATTCCAGCAGGTCGGAGCCACCACAGAAAAGGCCCTTCCCTGAGGGCCCGCCAGCTGACATTGTCTGGCCGACGGGACCTGAAGGAGGCCCAATCTATGGGACCTCACCGGTCTCTGGGAACTGTGCGGCAGTATGCGGTCCTGTAAGTAACCTGGCCCTATGCCATGAAGGGCTTTAAAGGTGATAACCAACACCCTGAATTGCATCCAGAGACCCACAGGAAGCCAGTACAGCTCGCGGAGGATAGGTGACACGTGGGCGTACCTTGGCGCGCCCACAATCGCTCTCGCGGCTGCATTCTGAACCAACTGCAGCCCCCGAACGCTCTTCAAGGGTAGCCCCATGTAGAGCGCGTTACAGTAATCCAGTCTTGAGGTGACAAGGGCATGAGTGACCGTGAGTAAAGCCTCCCGGTCCAAATAAGGCCGCAACTGGTGCACCAGGCGAACCTGGGCAAAGGTCCCCCTGGCCACAGCCGATAGATGTTGTTCCAAATTTAGCTGTGAGTCCAGGAGGATACCCAAGTTGCGTGCCTGCACTGAGGGAGGTAAATTTGCCCCTCCCCAGGACTAATGATGGACCCTCCAGTTGACCTTTGGGAGGCAAGACCCAGAGCCACTCGGTCTTGTCAGGGCTGAGTCTAAGCCTGTTCACCCCCATCCAGACCCTCACATCTTCCAGGCACCGGCACATCACGTCGACTGCTTCACTGAAAGGACACGGGGTGGAGATATACAATTGGGTATCATCCGCGTACTATGATACCTCACCCCGTGTCGCCGAATGATCTCACCCAGAGGTTTCATGTAGCTATAAAGCTATAAAGCTTTATAGCTATAAAGCTAAAATTGGCTGCATTGTGACAAGTTTAAGAAAATCATGCCCTTGAGAAATGAGATATTAGTAGTGTGGGCTTTTTTTTATTAGGGAACTTAAAATTCCAATCTATCAAAAACACCAGGTTAGGAAAGTTATTTTGTTCCAGAATTACTTCCCCCCCTTCTATTCTGTGTAGCTTTGTTCTAACTTATTCTAAGGGATTATATAAATAGTTTTAATGGGAAGCTTTAGAAAATTGCATCATTTTTTTAAAAAAAATTAAAAATAATTTACAAAAGTGGTTTTAGATATTTTTCTGTTGTCTTTTTCAGGTTTATGAAACTGGGCAGTTTAAAGAATTTGATTATGGTTCTAAGAATATGGAAAAATACAATCAGGTAGATGAAGATTTTTTTTTAAATGAAAGTATATTGCAGATAAATAAGAATGAAGATTAAGCGGATACAAAGTTGTAATTTTTTTTACATAATACCATTATATTTAACACATCATCCTGGATTCATCTGAATTTTATTTTGATTAAAGGCAGGAGTGTCCATCTTTGTATCAATGAAATGCTGTTCTATCAAGTATAAGCAATATCTACTCAGACATAGATCTGAGGAAATTAAAAAAAAATGTCTAATCCTATAGTAGTTCTTGCACATTTGACTGAGACCAGTGACAGTACTTCTAGTCAGTGATGGGATTCACCAGTTCATACCACTTCGGCAGAACCAGTAGCTAATTTTTTGTTACCCAGGCCCAAAATGGCATCTGGAAGCGGCATCCACACAGAGAACCATTTGTTTACATATTTGAATCCCATCACTGTTTCTAGTGTACAAGGTACTAAGTCTCTCTTAAATTACATGAAAAGTTATTTTAGGACCAATTAGCAGGAATTAATTAAGAGAATTAGAGATAATGAGTTGAAGCTTACTGTGCTAATAATATTAAAAGGATTATTTTCAGATTTTTATGGGGTTATGGTTGAATAGGGTGAAGGTAGAAAGGCATGTAGGTAGATTGCTCAAAAATAGAAGATCTGTTATCTGGAATAGTGATAACCACATAGCATGAGATGGATAACAAAAGTGCATTATATTAACAACCATCCCAAAAGATAAGTCAGTGTCCTTAGAGCTATCCTAAGACTAGACTCTGGGAAGTAGGAAAGCTAAATGATTCAAAACACCAGGTTACATACAACAATATTACAATACTAGCAATATTTAGTTGTAAAGAGATTTAATAAAATTTTTATCTTCTCTTTAGATGAGCCCTCCCTTTTATGATATAAGAAGCATGAATATCCCAACCATCATGTGGAGTGGTGAAAAAGATAAAATTTCTACACTAAAGGATACCGAACTACTTCTCCCTCTTCTTAGTAATCTGATCTCCTACAAAATAATTCCTCATTGGAAGCATTATGATTATCTTTTTGGGCTTGATGCACGTCAAAAATTGTATGATGAGCTTGTTGACATAATTCAGAATTTCCCATAACCTGGGGATCATCTAATAAGTCAGCAGCAAACATGGCACTCCAAAATGTTTCTTTAACAGACAAAATGCATGCTTCACTAAAGCAGAATTGTCTAATTCTTTTATTTGGTTATTTTTTTAAAAGATACCTTTTAGAAAAGTTAATGTAGATGCCTTGAAACAATGCAACCTGGGGATTCTAAACTTTGGGAAGACTCACAGGGTAAAGTGTAATAAGAGAAAGATGATGTCAAACTCTAAGAGCTGAATGAAGATTCTCACAATTTAACAGACTTTCCCTTCTTCTAGTTTCAATTGCAAAAAGCAGTGTTCAGGAAGGACGTGTTAAAAAAACAACAACCTCAAAATGGTAGCTGTGAAAAGATGACCTAAGCTTTGCCTTTCATTGTACATGTCTTAGCCTTGCATGCATTTCTAAAGGGACTGGGTGTTGTGTCCTGAGCCTGCAAAAGCAGGCTTGGGACATTGCATTGGTCCCGGGCATTCCAAAAGCTGCCCAGGACCAGACAAAGCGGTGCCAGCCTTGTGCACATGCGCAAGGTGCGAAAATGCTCTGTTCCTATTGGTTGACGTTGTCCGGGTTTCTGGCCATGTAAAAAGGCCTGTGTGCCTTTTGATTTTGCTTAGTTATTGTAGAAGGTGAATAAAGCGTTTGTTCAGCATTGCCATGTGTCTTCATTATTTGCATGTGAACAAAGTACACAACACTGGCGACGAAGGTGAGATGCTTTGCAAGCTGGAACAAAAGAGTTGAGGACTTACCCAGGAAATCCTGAAGAAGGGAAGACGGCATCTGAATCAGCATCCCAGCCTGCCAGTACAGCATCGCTGGAGGTTGAGCTTGGCTAAAGGACCCTTTCCCCAAACAGCAGCTTGTGGAGGAAGTGAGTGGTGAAGGTCGTAAAGCTTACGATGTCGAAGATTGGCCGCTTGACTGATTTCGATGTCTCTCACACAGAGAGATGGAATTCCTATGTAGCACGGGTGGAGAATTACTTCTGAGTAAATCAGATTAGAAGAGATGGCCTGAAGGCAGCAACTCTTTTGTGTGTCTGTGGACAAGAAGCTTTTGACATCGCAGAAAATCTGGTGGCCCCTGCACCTATGGAGTCAGTAACATATGCTGACTTGAAGAAAATGTTGAAGGAACATTTCTAGCCAAAGTTATCCGTCATTGCTTGGAGGCACATGTTCGAGCAGAGAGACCAGAGGCCAGATGAATCTGCTGAGGACTTTATTGTGGCCTTAAGGCAAGCAGCCAGACCTTGTGAGTTCAAGGATCTGGAAGAGAGGCTGCGAGATCGTTTTGTCTGTGGCTTAAGGAGCAGAGACTTACAACAAAAATTTTTTGCAAAAGAAGATATCTCCTTCCAAGATGCGTTGCGAGAGGTGGCAGCTGAGGAAGCAGCAGGTGGAGCTGTGAAGGCCTTGCTCCTCGCCAGGAATCCTCCAGACACAGCTACAGTCCATCAAGAGGAAGCTCAAGAAGGATCAGAAGAGTATCCTGAAGAGAAGGTCGACAGACTTCATGAACCAACTGAGAGGAGGTAGAAGGGACGTCTGGTCAAGGCCCCAGCATCTCTTCAATGCTTTGGGTGCGGAGGACGCCACAAGCAAGCTGACTGCAGGTTTCGCTCCGCCATTTGTAGGGTGTGTAGCAGGCAGGGCCACATTGCATCCATCTGTTTGGGTCACCAGAAGGTTCAACCTCGGGAAGAATTGCTTTGGAAAGGTACCAGGGTCCCCAGCCAAAACAGGGTGGGTTTCTGCACATCACGCAGGAGCATTCTAAGAACAGGGACGCACAAGCCCCTTAAGAAGAAACTTTCCATTAATATAAAGTTGCAAGGGATTCCCTTACTGATGGAGTTGGACACTGTCCGCTCTTTCCATTATTTCAATTAATACCTTTAAAAAGATTTGCAGCAGTAGTGGCCTTTGAGTTAAACTCAGGCCATCAAATCTAATATTTACTGATTTTCAAAATTCTATGTGTGTGTTAAGGGGGAGGCCATTCTTAGGGTACAGGATAAGGATTTTGAAGGTTCCCTAGATGTGGTGGTTGTTGGGAGTGAACGTACGAGTCTTATTGGACTCGATTAGTTTGAGGCTCTGGGAATCCAGGTAACTGGGCTGCACAGCTTGCAAATGCTGGGCCTTGCAGAGATTTGCAAAAAGTTTGCAGATGTGTTTAGTTCAGAGCTAGGGCCTCCCATTTCGCTACAGTTAGACCTGTTAGACACAAAAATAGTCACAAATTGAAATCCACTCTGAGTTACAAATAGAAAGGAAGTTTATTAGACTTCACATCCAAGTCTAAAAAAAATAACTGTTTGCAAAGCGTGGTGGATTCAGGAAGGCAATGCAATGTAGCCAAGCACTGAACCACACCCCAAATTCCAAAATCACATATTATTATACATCCTATCGCGACGCCCCATTCCCTCCCCCATGGCCCCATTGGCTTAGGCTTTGGAGGTTACAATCTATCAGAAGCGCCTAAACAGAATACATTATCTCTGCCCCTGTTTGCTTACATTATACTAATAAGATCCCTCCCCTACTATCCTGTTTACTCAGACCATATATGTACATGCTTATCACTTCTAAAAGAGAGATGTCTCCCATCTTCTACACCTGTTAGATCCAGTAGGGGTACCAGGTACCAACAGGTACTTAAAAACAATTCCTAGATGGTGACTCACACTGGGCCCCATGGTAACTCCTATTCTCCCCCCTTCCTCCATCTGAGGCTTGTATGTTCCCTATATACTCAAAGCATCTACTCAGGCAATTGATTATACAATAATAATTATAAAATATAAAATATGATTACACGAGGATAATACTAAAAGTATATATTTTTATTTTTAAATATTCTCACTACTTCCAGTTTTTTCCACAGACCCAACCATCACACCCATCAGGGTTAAGCCTAGGAGGGTACCTTTTGCCCTCAAAGGTAAGATTGATGCTGAGCTGGACAAATGCTCCAGCAGGGCATTCTAAAACCTGTGGATTCTAGTCCATGGGAAACCCCCATAGTAACGCCTCTAAAGGCTAATAGGGACATACATATATGTGCAGACTATAAATGTACACTGAATAAGGCGCTGCAACAGCATGCTTATCCAGTGCCTGTGGTAAGTCACATTCTGGCCTCCCTCAAGGGGGGGGGGCATTTTTGCGAAGCTTGACCTGGCACAGGCCTATTAACAGCTACCTGTTGATGAGGCAGCTGCAGAGGCCCAGACTATTGTAACTTACAGGGGGGCCTTCAAGGTCAAGAGACTGCAATTTGGGGTAAATGTAGCCTCTGGCATATTCCAAAGTGTCATGGAGAGCACACTTCAAGGGGCCTATCCCTACTGGGGCCTGTCCCTACTTCGATGACGTCCTCATTGCTGGGGAGTCATCTCAAAATTTAGCAGAAAGATTAAGGGCTGTCTTTCTTCATTTTCGAAAAGCAGGCCTTAAACTAAAGAAGGATAAATGTAAGACAGGAGTCATTTCTACTGACTTCTTACGATTCAGGATTGATGCCAAAGGCATTCACCCTGATGAAACTAAATTGCAAGCTATCCAGCAGGCCCCAAGCCCTAACTCTAAGAGTGAGCTGTAAGCCGTCTTGGGGCTATTAAATATTTACCATGCATTCCTACCACATAAACTGCAGTGGCAGAGCCATTATACAGGCTCTTAGACATGCAGGCTCCTTGGCAGTGGACTAAAGTCCATGACAAGAGTTTAAATGAGGTTAAGGCCTTGCTCACTTCTAATACTGTTTTAGCACATTTCAATGAGCAACTGCCTGCTTGCATCGCATGCGATGCATCTCCTTATGGGGTGGGAGCTGTACTGAGCCATCTGAAGGCTGATGGGACACAGGTCCCTGTGGCCTATTATTCAAGGACTCTGCAGAGCGAAATTACGCTCAAATTGACAGAGAAGCCTTGGCCATAGTGGCTGGCATTAAGAAATTTCATGATTTCTTATATGGCTGCCATTTCACGGTCTATACTGACCATAAGCCTCTATTGGGTTTGTTTACCACTAACAAACAGACCCCACATATCATTTCTTCTCGTATGCTGAGATGGTCCATTTTCCTGTCAGCATATGACTACATTTTAGCTCACAAACCTGGAAAAGAAATGGGTCATGCAAATGGCCTGAGCAGATTACATCTGAACCAACTAGAGTCAGATCCTACTCCAGCCATTAATATTCTGTCCATTCAGGAGTTCCCTGAGTCTCCCCTGAATGCTAGGGACGTGGCTGCAGAAACTGCCACTGATCACACGCTTCATGTGTGCTGACATGGGTGTTTTCAGAATGGTCTGACAAGTGCCCAGATACTGAGCTCCAAAGCTTCTGGCACAAGAAGCATGAGTTTTCCACTTTCAAGGGTTGCCTGTTATGGGGTAGCAGGGTAGTGATCCCAGCCTCATTGAGGTCTAGAATATTGACTTCTCTGCATTAGGGACATCCTGGTATAGTCAGGATGAAAGCGCTTGCACGCAGCCATCTTTGGTGGCCTGGGCTCGATAAAGCCATTGAGGCCCAGGTGCACGGGTGCCAATTTTGCCAACAGTCATGGCCTGAAATGCCTCAGGCCCCAGTACATAGGTGGGAGGAAACTCAAACCCCATGGTCTAGGGTGCATATAGATTATGCTGGGCCCTTTCAGGGGCAATTCTTCCTGGTTATTGTTGATAGCCATTCCAAATGGCTAGAGGTTGTTCCTGTTTCCTCCACTACTGCTTCCAGGACCATCCAGGTGTTGAGAAGAATTTTTGCATCACATAGTCTTCCAGATGTGCTGGTTTCAGATAATGGCCCTCAATTTACCTCTTCTAAGTTCCAGGCTTTTCTTCAGGCCAACGTGATCCGGCATGCACCATCAGCTCCCTTCCATCCATCCTCCAACGGACAAGCAGAGAGAATGGTGTGCACCACCAAAGATGCCCTCAAGAAACTGACTTACGGTAACTGGCATCACAGGTTAGCAGATTTCCTTCTTGCACACTGCACCACACCATGTACAACCACAGGGAAGAGCCCTGCTGAACTCCGCTGGGGTCGCCGCCTCATTACTAAACTGGACAGGATGCACCCTGACTGGGTGGCTTCACAGGTGTCACAACTGCGGGCACCTAGGAGACTCCAGGTGGGCGAACTGGTTTGGGCAAGAAACTATGGGCCTGGACATCTCTGGGTCACAGCTTTGGTCTGCAAGGTCTCTCGGCTGTTGTGATACAAAGTTGCCTTGGGTGACGGCCGCGTTCTTCGCAAACACATATACCAACTGCGTTGGAGACTGGACTGGGAGGGAGGACCATAATATGCATTCTAGGTCACAGGTTCCCAGGCCTAACAGGCTCTCACTAGCTGCTACTGAGGCTGTTTGGGATTCATCCCAAGGTTCCGCAAGTGCTCCTAACAGGAATTCACTGGATAGGGGATCATCACACACATCCATAATTACTCCAGAAAGGGAGTCACACAGAGGGTATCCACAATATTCACATATGTCAGATAGAGCTCCAGACAGGGAGACTGACAAGGGGTATCCACACAAATCACAAGCAGCAAGAGAAAAAGAATTCCATCAGGGGCGCTTGCCAAATTCCACAATTGCTCCCAAAAGGAGGTCTCCAGGAA